AATATGCTTTATAGTTTTTATTGTATACATAAAATTTCTGTATTAGTGCTTGTATTTGCAAAGGCACAAATATGGGTTTTTTTGGACACTCACTAAATAATATTTAACACTTAAGAGACGCTCCTTTTGTCTTTGTGATTAACATTATTATTTCATACGTATAAACCAGCACCACTCTGTCTAGTCTACTTCCTGCCTACAGCATCACCAACCTCACTCTCTGAAATCAGGGAAACAGGATTTGTTACTAATGTGTGCTCCCTCTGCTGGCTTTAGGTACAAAACTCTGTAGTGGGATAACTAAGAAATACTTAGTTATAGGCATGCTGTGTACATCATGGTCCATCACTTCATATATGAAGAAAACAATACAAACATAGTGATTTTTAAAATCATTAGACAACCATGACAGGACTACTGTAACAATTACTAATAAATTTCAGCATAACATATTCTGATCTAAAAATACTTGACATTTCTATCGTTTTGAAGGGACCCACTAGGTATGACGAGGCTCTCAAAATGCTTGTTAGCATATGTTAAAACTTCCATGCCTTGGCTGTTCATGATATAAACATATTGGCTGCCTTCCCACTGTCCACATATGCCATATTTCAGAATTAAATCACAATATCTGTAGTCTAAAAATGTATCATATCATAATGTTTTGCTACAGTCATTATTTAATCAAGATGCATACGGTTAGTTAAATGCAATGTAATGTAGTTTTAATACGATCTACTCACCACCCGATACAACCACTTTTGCACTAGTGAGCTCTGGTCGATCGCTTTGTGTCAACTTCTGCTCAATCCATTCAGAAAGACCAACAGGTGGTGGAGGCGTTACTGCTTTCATCAGATTTAAAAAAAAAAAAGAAAGAAAGAAAAAAAAAGGTAAAGCATGTATTTTCAGCCTTTCAAATTTCAGTTTCAACTTAATACAAAAGTTCATTCTAGAACCAATTCTACCACAAGCTTTTAACTACTATCAATAATCGCTCTATGGCTCAGAGTTACAAGCCTCTCTCATTAGTTGCAATTATTTACTCTGCAGTACAAGAAAAAAAAGTTTTATGATCAATTTCAGTTTTGCACATCAGACTGCACTAAAATGAAAGTCAGAGGTATAAGTAATACATTGCTATCAACGCAGTGTAACCGTGGTTCTTACTAAGAGAGGCAATCCAGTCAGCTATGTAGCGTAATGACAGTGCGACACGCTAACTCTAAGTATCGATATGTGTTTGTTTCCTACTTTTCACAGTACAGAACGGCTCAGGGGCAGTTACTAAGCTTCCCAGAAAAATATGAGGAATAGGAGGGTGACACACAGCCTGATGCTAATGATTCCCGTTGCTGGATTTACAGCGCAGTCATAAATAAACCCATGCAGAGAAACAGCAGAGGTGACTGCGGATTTCTCTATAATCAAAGCTGTAGTGGCTTCATTAAAATAATAATTTAAAGGGATTCAGTTAAAACTGATAGAAAACAACGACCGGGTGTTCTCAGTCCAATTTAAAATGCTACTAATTTAGCTCGACGCTGTAACGACCTATCTCAATTGAAATATGACTGATAAAACCAAAAGCATGGACAGCCAACCACCGCTATTTGTGCCCAGTTTCGCTATGAAAACCAATTTGGCTATTTAAACAGCCATAACTTTAAAGATGAAAAAGTTTCAGGATTGCTGTAGCAGATGTTTAAGCAGCAACTGAAATGGGCACAGGTTTCAGCACAGATAACCTCCATTTCTAGTCACAGAGAAGGTAGAAAAGAAGGTATCTTCCCTTACCGGGCATCACTGAAAACTGCAAACCTATGTATTAAAAGCATAAAGCAGCGGTTATGACAATTGGTTTGCTTTGACAAAGACTTACGCAAAACATCGGTATGCATTGAGCAAAAGCAACTCTATTACACAAAATGGCAGAGTACTAAAACAAATGCTCACCCTTTTCTAAACTGGCACTACCACCACTTACTGGTGCAGCCTCAAAAGAAGTTCCTCGTACAGAAAATACTTTAACGTTTTCCTCACATTTCACAGTGCAGACAATATTTCCTTAAAAAAATAAAACAACAAAAACACACATTATGTTTTTATAAAAGATAAAGCTAATACTAGATATACTTTTTTCCATGAGGAAAAATTAGTATTAGAAATATATTAGCACTTCTGCTAGAAGAGAGAACATTCAGAAAGTTACTTCCCAAAATTGCAATTTTAGATGCCCAGAACTGGAAACTTTGGCACTTAAACAACGCAGATTACAAATATTTTTATTTACTTTTTATCTCAATGTTTCTGAGGTATGTTAATAGTTCCCTCTTTTTTAAGGGATAGAGTTGCATTCAAATCATCCCTCATTAATGAACTTTTAAATTTCAGAGAGAAAAAAACCCTCTGAAAGTATCCTCTTAAATATAAAAAGGGTCTACAACTCAAAGTAGATCTTTTATCCTGTCACAAGACTTCAGCAGGGCAGAAGACAATGAAGCCTACTCCAAACGTCTGTGGGCTTGTTTTTTTTTTCCCAATAACCTGAACTATAAAAGGCAGCCATTTCACAGTTGAAGCTGCAGGGAACGGTAAAGGGAAAAAAATACCGAAAACACTAGCTATTCCTAAACAAAGTCATCCTGAAATTTGTGAATTATGGAGAAGCAACTTAAAAATGCAACACAAGTCAACCACATTCTGGTAATGCAACTCAAAATATAATAGCATGTTGGTGGAAGAAAAATCTTGTACAACAAAATTAAGAAACACAAGCTAATGAGCTCATATCTAAACTAGAACACTGGGTCAGGGAAGCATTAGAGATACTGACTGAAGAAAGAATTACAAATTAAGTCAATTAAAAATTACAAATAATCAGTTCAGTGTCTTCATAATTAGGAAAAATAACCCTGTGGTATCTTAAATCAGAACTAATGCTTGCCATATTAAATAAAGTCAGACAATTAACTTAATGCCTTACGTTTTACAAAATCTGATCAGAAGTGCATTAACAAAGAAATGCAATATGTATAAAGGATGTTGCCAAATTCTATTAATTAGAACGATTGATCTAGTTTTTAACTGAAAACCTACAGTACCAAAGTTGTTGGTATTGCTTGTGTTCTCACACATGGAACATCATGTCCACCCTGGTGCTGCATATTTATGAACCGCAATTTCGACCATAAGCTGAAAATTCCCAACATATGCCAAGGTTCTAATAACAACAGAATTCTGCAGAACAGTTATCAGCACTGGCTCCTCTACCGCGCAAATACCACATACTTCTTCTCGTTACTCACCTGCATAGATAGTTCTCACAAAAGTGTCTGGTGACTTAATTTCGATAATGTCAGAAACAGGGGCAACATTAAGTTTAGCCGCCACTCGGGGAATAAGATTCTAAAAGTTAAAGATGAAGAGTTAGAAAAGTAAAGGCTGATACTCTAAACATCAGGAAATGCAATGGAAATGAGTTAAAATTTACATGTTAAGCAAAGAAACGTTTGCTGCCCTGATTTGCACTTCATACCAAGCTGTCTGTGAGTCAAAAGGCACATACAACCGCGAGAGCAGGGCTACTCATGGAGTTTTCGCAGCCAAATAAAAACCCATTACTGTAATAACATTAGAAATTTTATGAGACTTACAGTAAGTAAACCCTTAATTCAATATCTTAAAATTAGAAGGCTTACTTGCTTCAATAGTTTAAAACTGAATATAGACACTATTTACTCAGAAATTGACAATTACGGATTGCCGAGTTCTTACAGCTGCACTTCAAGAAAAGTAGTATTTTTGGAAGCCAGGTTACCAGGAGAAAAAACCCTGTACCCTCCCAAAGAAAAGACAAAACGCATTTTAAAATTATGATTAAAATATAGGTTCTCCTATTCTGAAATTGACTCTAGAAAACTACTTAGCACCTTTGGGAATAGGGGAGGGTAAAAGGAACAACATAAAGCATTAAGAAATTAAGGACAGCAAAAGATTTTCTTTTTTCCCTTTTCTTTTTCCCTTTTTGCCTTTTCTCCCTCTTCTCATCTAGTAGAACGCAAAAGGCCCAGTTCTGGAACTTTTACTCATGTTAAACAGCCCCCAACTACGAAAATCGTCACCGATTCATTCCTCTAGAAAAGCACCGCTCAACTCTGGGAGCGTAAGCTTTCAAGTAAAAGCTACTAATCTTTACTAAGCCACTGTGGAACAACAACAAAAAAAATCTGGATAAGACTTAAAGCATGTAAAGACTTCTCTTAACAAAATTACAAAAGGATAAAGATTGATACTGATGGACAGCGAAAGTAGTAGGATGGAAGGCTGATGTGATTATTCACCCCACACTGGCAGATTTCTAAAGTACGTTTTTTTTGGCTAATTTATTGCTGCACCATGACATTGTTTTTAGTATCGAGGAACTCCGCATGCTTAAAAACACGCACCTTAAAACCAAGTTTTGAAAAATTATATTTTCATTAAAAAGCATCTTGGCTAGAAGTTGGATCGATGTTATATTTACATTTTTAAAGCTATTTCAATCTACACTACCTATACGATAGAGACAATCCGCCATGCCCTCCAAAAAGCTTCCCTCAACAGATCTGTGCACTTTCATTTCAACATGCAAACCATACAACAAGCTAGAAAGCAGATACAGTGGAACGAGAGCCACAATGAGCTTGCTTCATAGGTTTTCATCGTCATTTACTGTATTTTTCCTTACAATTTTCATAATGCTTTCAGATCTGTCAATCAATTCTGTGTTAGTATTTTATATATTTTGTCTTGTGTACATAGGACTAGCTGGTTATAAATAAATACTTTTTCTGAACTGCTCCTTTCTTAAATTCTGACTTGTCCAAATCAGTCCACAATAAAATTCAAAAGTGAATCGGGGTTTCTAACTAATGACAACACTTAAGTGAGCATTTTTTTGAAAACATTGTCTATGGCTTATCTGAAGACCTTCCCTCAGGCATTTGATTCACACTCACGCTATGCAACAGTTCCACTGTCTTTTCCACAAGAAATTTTTGATGTACTTTCCAACTGCTTACCTTCCCAAAGGCAGATGCTCCAGCGCAAATATGCGTGTAATTAAATTGGTTTTGAGTTGCCAAAATCAAGGGAGTCAGCTCCTCTGAGGATAAAAATATATTGCTCACGATTTACAACTATCTTATTTGTATTTTCGATCACAAAAATAAACACCACTTATTTTGTCAATAGATCGGTAAGAACAACTCTCACCTGGTAGAAATCCTTTGTACGCATCGTGCTGAGCCACTAGAACTTTTGCAACGCCCTGCACTTTGCTGACTTCTTGTGCTACCTATGATTACAAATGTATTATTATTAGTTTATATTATAGTAGCAGCTAGAGGCTCCAGCTAAACTTAGAGCTCTGTGGTGGCAAGCACCTTAAACAAATAACAAGAGATAGTCCCTGCTACAAAGAGCTCACTGCCTACAGATTATGTAAAATTGGAACACAAAAGTAGATATTTTTCAAAAGCAGAACAAATCTGACAGAACAAAATGGGCACCTTCTGACTCCCAGCGTAGCTCTTTACAGCGTAATACAAACAAATTTTGTGAATAAGAAAATTACAAAGCAAATCAAACATAAGAAAGCTTGCCTCCTCTACACAGGAATTCACAATAATCCTACGATGTATTACAGTAGCCAGTAACAACCACACTTGAGGATTATTGCTTAGTGTACTGATACAACCATCAAGAAATTAAACCCTATTTCTTTAAAAATCAATAACTATCTACCATATGAACATACAATGCAAATAAAAACGTACAGTGGTGTTATGATCTTTGTGCAAGTTTTAGCAGAAATCCTTTGTTTGCAACCAACTCTTTGCCTGCTAATGCGATGCATATTTTCAAATCTGTATTTATGCCATTTTTTTTCCTTTAAATTTGAAGAAGTGGAGTTTAAATGATAAAAGGATTGTTGCAGATCAGAGAGAAGAGGACTGACAGCAGTGTCTGGAGACCACATGCATGGTCCCAGACCTAGCGTAGCTTTAGGGAGTTTGCTGACTATTAGTTCTACGCTCAGAAATTAGCAAGAGGAAACAAACAAACGTTCCAGAACAGCTGCTACAAAATAGCTGTTTGAGCAACTGGCTGCTTAGTTCTGCCCATAGAGATTCTTACAAAGCAGCTTAAAACAAAAAAGTCCTTCGCTTTCTGTGCCGCCCAATAGACACAATGTACTTACTATTAAAAAACAAACGAACAAAAAATTTGCAATGGCTTTTCTATTGTGCAAGTGCAAAAGAATAAGGCAACCCAAAGACAGACGTTTCAGGCAAAATTCAAAAGTTTATTACCATCTGGAACTAGATAAACATCCGCTTCTGGTTTCAACCTTGAACACCTATGTCTCAGTTTAGAACCATTCTTCAATAGCCAGTGAGGTTTCTACAGCTACAGATAAATTAGCTGCCATGAGCATGCCTTCCACGTGAGACGCTACATATCACTTTCAGAACAATAATTTATAAATCCTATAAATAATAATAAAGATTAATATTAGGCTTAATTTCATTACTTTTACTGTTCACATGAGCCTACATCATCCCGGCATAGGAGTGACACTAATGTACTAAAGGACACGCAGCCTCTAGATTTTGAAGGTAACAAACATTAGACTGAAGCAAAGCCAACACTTACGGTACAAGCAACTCCTATTTCAGACATAAGCTATATGATGACAAAGTCAAGAAACACTAATTTCAGATTTTTAGGTTGCAAACATATTCTCACTGGGCTGCTAGCAGCTGATAAGTAAAAGCGAGATGCTCCGAACTTCTGTTTGTCCCTGCGCCGTGCCATTTCTGCTCGTTTCCATTGCAACAAGGAAACTTTCCTCCCATGTTCTTAGCACTGCAATATTTCTCTTTCAAACGTTACAGGAAAATACTTGTTGTAAAAGTTAATTGTCCTTTAGTCTTATAAAAGCATGTTTGCTTGTTTAAGCTTTTAACAACTTAAATCGATATTCTCACTTATTAAATGAAATCTATACCCATACTTTCAGTTCAGAAAAGAAACAGTTGGAGTGCAGGACATTTCCTGTGGATTAGCAACTCCTGGCACAGTTCCTCTTCACTAGAGATTATTTTCCAGGCTGACCAAGATGCTATCGCATATCATTTGACTGCATTCATTATTTCATTCACATGAAAATAGGATTTCCTACCTTGTCACAGCTGGTACCAGCTACTAAACAAGAAACTTCCCCTCCGAGACGTTTTGCCGCAGTGATAACGTTTAGTGTAACGGGCGTAAGAGACTCATTGTTGTGTTCTGCTATGACTAACGTACTCTGAAACCGCCGAAGCAGCGATGCCTTTAAAGAAAGACAGAGAGAGAAAGCAGAGTTTGATTTTTAGCATTTTGATAAAAAATTGTTCCTAAAAGCATCCAATACTTTACAGAAAGTTATCTATACACAAAATTGTCAACCAGTGCTGTCAAACAAAACTGAGTAAACTTAGGTGTTTTATTAAGCAGCTAGAATACACGAGGTGTTAACAAAAGTATAAACCTGCTTGATTGAAGCATCTCTCTAACATATTGTTGTTAAACTATAACCTTCATAGGAAGCTACTGAACAGTATTAACAAAAACAGCCAAACAGATCATATTCAAGCTCAGTTGGTCAACTTAACTAAATATCTTAAAGAGTGGGCATAATTGACTATGAATATAATTATAAGATTTTAGATGGTTATGGAGTGAAATCCACAAGAGGAAAAAAGCAAGTCTAAGGCACAAGGAAATCAAGGCTAGGAAATAAGTATTTACTTCTCGCTTTTTTTTTTTTTTGGG